TTTAGAATGCACGAATAATACAGGAGAAGGTATTTTTAAATTGTATAAATGAAAACTTTAAAAAACAAGGTTTAGAATGGAAAATTGCTTATCATTTTCTTCAGCTAATGCTAGTAATATGATTGGAAAGTTTAAAGGTATAGCATCATTTATCAAAATGCATCAACCAAGTATAATCACCCGAGGTTGTCCATGCCACCTCTTGCATATAGCTGCAAAAAAAGCTACTGAAAATTAATTGGCTCAGAAATTGAAATGTTGATAATAGATATATATTTTTACTTGGAGAAAAGTTCGAACGGAAGCATAGCTTCAAGTTGCTCAACAATTTTGGGACAGAATGCAAAATCTCATAAAATTTTGAAATATTGCAGTACGAGATGGTTGTCTCTTTTAGAATCTATAACAAGGATTTTGGAACAGTGGGATGCTGTGATAAATTTTTTTGGAGATAAACCAGATAACAGTGAGAATGAAGGAAAGAGATTGCAAAACATTAAAAAAATTTTACAGTCACACCGACCACCAAATTGTACTTGTTATTCTTGAAAAATACTTTGCCTTTGTTTATAACAGTAATATTAATTTGCAACAACCAGCTCCTTATATACATAAATTGAGAAGAGAACTTTTTTGAACTTTTAATGAATTTATTTGTTAGATTCCTAAAACCATCAGGTAATTTCTAAAGAAAATGAAAGATGTTACTCTAACGTCTATTCCATTTCAAAAGTGTAGTAAACAAAAGAAATGAAAATTTAGTGATTGGTGCGGAAACAAGACTTATACTTTAAAAAAAGCCAAGTTGAATGAAAGGTGAAGTGAAATTGCATTTTTCAATTCTGTGCGAGCTTTTTTTGTAACTGCATGTTCAATATACAATTGATAAATTTCCACTGAAGTGATCCATTTCTAAAACATGCTGAAGTTTGCTGACATCAACTTGAGAACTGAAGTCTCATTTTCATCTGTTCTTTACTTGATGAATACTTTTCCATCCATTATTGATGAAAAATGTCTTAATCAAGTAGAAATTGAATTTTCCATGTATCAAGTAGATGATTTGAAAGAAATTGTAGATTTGCGTATTGATATAGCATGGGGAGAAATTGCCAAATTAAAAATATGAATGGGTGTATTAAATACCAAATTTGCCTTCTGTAATGCTTGCTGTCTTAATAATACCTCATTCAAATGCAGCTTGTGAAAGAATTTTTTTCTATTGTTAAAAAAAATCAGACGGAATTTCGACCAAATTTAGGTCTTAAAACTCTTGAAGCAGTTTTGATTGAAAAATAAATATGCAGGCAAATGAAGACTGTGTTTATAAAAAAACATTCTCAAAATCAGAACTTAAGCTTGCTAAGCATGCTACATATAAATCTTTGCATTCATAAATTATGCGTATTTTGTTTAATACTTATATGTATCATTCTTGGTTATTTAAATTTTATTTCCCTGTAGAAATTATATCCAGAATAAAGATATAATTTATAGCTTCTGATTTTTTCTATGATTAGTAGTGATTTGAAGTACTTTTTATTAGTGAATGCTTGAGGAATTAAAAGAAAATTTCTAATTAAATGTGCATATAATTTACAAGGTATATTTTTAATTATTCAGTTTTATATGTATATGGATTTTAAATAATAAAATTGATTACAATTAATTATTAATTTAAAATTAATGAATGGTTAATTACATACGCTACGCGCACATTTTCAAAGTTGTAAAAATGTTGTTCGCGCGTTGACTACTGACAAGGTTTGCTGAAGGTTGGAGTCTATGCGCGCTGTTCTATTTTTAACCTTCCAACGCAGCTATCTTTTCAAAAATCGTCTGCGTTGCTCAGGCAACATGAAGCAAATATAATTACAATTCTAAATAAAAAAACTAAATAAATAAATAACTATGAAATCCATAACAATATGAATTAAGTAATAATTAATAATAAAGCAAAGTGCATGCACCAATATGTCGTACAAAACTATGATTGGAAAACTGAGACCATGCGTTCGGCCACATTCGGCTATCTGAGAATGCGTACAAGTTCTGAGTGCATGTGTCTCCCAAAAGCCGAAGGTAGCTGAACGCAAGCTACTCACACGCATTTGTAATTTAAGTAGTGTGTGTGTCAGCTCGCTGTGAGTAATCTAACAACACTGAATAAATTATCGTTAATTACTTAGCAGTAAACATTTCATTTTTTTCTTCGTCGATATGTTATTTTATTATTATATATTATTATTTGCCGATATATTGGCCGGGCCGCAAAAATATTTGTTGTGGGCCGCGAGTTTGACATCCTTGCTTTACAACATCATAAGTGTTGCAATCCTTAACTTTCATGTTCTTATAAGGTCTGAACAAGTGTCGCTAAATCTTGTTGTTCCATCATCCATTGAAATGCTGAACAGTCCATCGCTATCTTAAATGAAATTCCCAGAAGTTAAACACAAAACTTTTTCAGTGCTTCTACAATCGTGAGGACCTCCAACCTGTAACTTGAATACTTTTTCTCTGCGTCGGAGATTTTCCTGCTCATAAAATAAATGGAGTGAAAATTGCTGTCACCTGGGGGTTTCCACATTAGAATCTCCTTGTATCCTTCTAGGCTGGCGTCTGTGTGTAGCTCGGTTTCGTAATGAGGTTTGTAAATTGTGAATACAGGCTTCTCAGCTAATGTTGACTTTAAACGAGTGAATGCGATCTTTTGTTCGACACTGAATTTGAACTTATTATCCTTTTTTAGCAGGTCGCTAAGTGGCTAGGCAATTATAGAGTACTTAGAAATGAATTTTCTGAAATACCCTGTCATCCCAAGAAAAGTTTGGATATCTGCTTTAAATTAGATGGTTCAGGGAAATCTAGAATGGCTTGCGTTTTCAAGGTGTATGGGAAAATTTTACCATCTTCTATGATATCGCCTAAAAAGTCAATTCATTGCTTTAAGAACTGGGATTTTTAAAAAATTATTTCTAACCCATATTCACTTGATAGATTTAAAACTTGATTCAACCACTCAATTCCTTCTTCGCATGAGGCGGACAGAATGGTATCTTCCATATATGGCAAAGCAAAGCCATCATTAACTAAGGGTCGGAAAATGGTATTTATGAATCTCTGGAATGCAGCTGGTGAATTACAGAGCTCAAACGGCACTTTCAAAAATTAGTACTGTCCTTCATGCGTAACAAACATTCCTTGGCATTAGAAAATTTATGCCTTATCATATCACCTGGGTACTACATCTGTTTCTTGTTAAAGGTGCGTGATCTTGTTGCTCAAAGTTCAAATATACCCTGCTTCTGATTTATGTGCTGAATCCTTTTCTTATGTACTTTCTCTTTGGATAAAGCAACAAAACATTTTGTGCTCATTTAGTTTGAAAATGCTGTATACATCTGCATGCATATTGTGGAACTATTAGAGAACTAGATGTATTTTCCATTTGTATAATTTTTTTCGTGGATTTTGTGTATTTGTTCCCTGTTTAGGAAAAAATCGCTTTTTTAATTTAAAAAATTGTTTTAAAAAGATATTAAAAAATTAATAATACTATGAAATAATAAGCTAGACATAAAAAAAGAAAAGAATAGGTGGTATAATTCTAACAAGTGGAAGACTAATACACCTGTTCAGCTGTTTGTAATTATTCATTGGCATTACAAAGCACCTAGGTACTACATCTGTTTCTTGTCAAAGGTGCATGATCTTGTTGCACAAAATTCAAATGGTATTCACAAACAGACTTTACATTAAAAATTACCTGCATATTAAAAACTAATAACTACTTTATTTGTCATAATATTTAATTTTTAAGGTTTTTTCAAGAACATTGTGATTTGATATGCATTTAAAAATGCATGTTATCCCTTCGATCAACCAAGTAGCATGATTTGGGGCCAATTATGGGTGACCGTGTCATTTAGAATTTCACAGTAATGATTGGCGATGACCATTGCTAAAACTGCTGCCAGCGGTTGATGATAATATGTCAGTACCAAATGCATAAAACAAATTAATATTAGTTTTTGTGTTTTAAAATGTTTTATATACAATAAAAGCGCTACAATCAAGCATTCAACTTTAGAACCTTTATTTTTTGAAGCAAAATTAAAATAAGACATTTGTAACTCAGTTATAAAGTACAAGCAGGACTGCGAATTGAACAAAAAAAGTTGCTGCCAAGTAGTGTGATTTAGCGCCAGATAGATAAGCGTTATGTAACACTTCGGCTTTGTGTAAACCTGAATTCTCGATAAAATTATTTAGTTTTTGTGAGAAACAATATAAGTCACTGCTGTTTACCTGTTTTCAATCACATAAAAAAAAAAAAAAAAAAAAAAAAAAAAGAGAGAGAGAGACTAAAATTTGGGACTTGTCTTCAACAGAACAGCATGCATTAAAGTATTTTCAAATTTACTGAGATCTTTACATCGAGAAATGTGCGACTAATGTGAAAATGGATAAGCACTGGCTGCGCAACATGAAAAATTATGACAAGCAATTAGTATTTTTTATATATTCGTAACATGTATATGTTGATTAACTAAACAAAAAATCAATCATTTTTTTTCAAACTTCTGCTGGAATAACTGCCTCATGTTTTGATGAGATATCCACCAATTTTCATGGTCGATGGAATTTCATCATTAAGTACTGTGTTTTACTAGGCATTTACGTCTGGAATGTCCTCTTTTTCTCTAACTCACATAATTTATATGTAGGTGTTTTATATTCAAGTTGATAACAAAATAATTTTTTTAATAATTTTAAACCAGATTTTTTTTTTTTTTTTCTATTCATTAGGCTTTTCTGCCATGAATTGCATTTTATATATGCTATATTATCTGGAAATTTCATATATCCAGAATTTGCATTTTTTTAGCTTTCCTGATAGTTGAGCTTTTATTGTATTAAGATGATATAATTGTGCAAATATGAAGTTTAAATATCTATGTTTTTAATCTATATTTTTTATTTATTTTTATGTCTAGGTTATAACAGGAGGCAAAAATAAGTATTTAATTAATGGAGTTGGTGCTAATAACAATCGTGTACATGATCTTTTCCAGTCAGTACACTTGAATGTGAACAATCCTCATTTTCTGATTATGCAAGGCCGAATTACAAAAGTTCTGAATATGAAACCCATGGAGGTAAGATTTTAGATACTTAATATAATGCAAACACCTTAGCACAATTTGGTGATTTTTTAGAGAGGAAAAGTAAAAGTTACTTATTGGATGCAAGTTGATGGCTTTCACACCTATGAAAAGGTGTTCACAAGTTGAAAAGCCATCACAAGTTGATGGCTCTCCTTTTTTTTTTTTTTTTTTAAGTTTCCAAAACAATCAATATTTATCATAAATCGGTAAACATTATCAACATATGAAAATAAAACTTACTTTAGCAATTTAAAATGCACTGCTGGCCATTAAAATTGCAACACCAGGAAGGAATGATCTGATGAATGTCAAAAATGACATAAAAGGAAGAAGAGGTCTGGATATGCAAATGATTAGTATTTCAGTGCATGTAGATGATGCAGGAGGGAGAAATGACATCTGAAGCACAGCATAACATAAAAATTCTGTAGCGGATTTCTCATTCATAAAGTGCTCTGTAAGGTTGGAATTTGCTCAGAATATCATGTTATACCTTGAATAAGAAGAAAAAATGATTTCTAGCAAGTGTTGAAATTTGATAGAGGTTGGATCGTTGCCTGTCGCAAGTGTAGATTATTGGTCCATGATATCGCCAGTCGTAGTGGTCGACATCCAATCACAGTCATGCAAATATGAATCAATGGATTGCTGAGAGTCATATTGCATGCAGGATCTCAAAGCCCTCCCATGATGCCAGAGAGGACAGACATATTGTGAGGTCGACCCTGCAACACCATACGACCACATCACGGAAATGAGCATGTTTGCAACATGCCAGTATCAGCTCGTAAGGGTTGTTGACCTTTGCAGCAGTGTGGACCCAACAGGTTGACCATTACTTTGGCTTCCCTTGACAGTGCAGCACAGAGAGAGACGGCGACTCTGGTGCGCCATATGAAAAAAACTGGGTATAGGAGTTGCACAATGTAGTCTTTTCAAACGAGTCCCGGTTCTGTGTGCAGTATTCTGATGGCCATATACGTGTCTGGAGTGTCCGAGGAGACAGCATGTTGCCTGCTTGCATTTGATATTGGCATAGGGGCCCTGCACTAGTTTTGATAGTTTGGGCAGCCACTGGATATACGACACGCACATCTCTAGTTCGGATCGAAGGTAATTTGAATGCAGATGGGTACATTTCTGACATCTTGTGTCCAGTGGTTATGACCTATTTTCAAGGCCTCCAAACGTCATTTTCCTACAAGATAATGCAAGACCACATGTTGCATGTCGTTTTCTGACCTTCCTCGATACACAGGGTATTCGATTGCTGCTCTGGCCTGCACGGTCTTCAGATCTGTCACCCGTTGAAAACATCTGGTCATAGGTTGAGAGACTGGCCCGCCACCCCTCTCCAGCTAATATAGTTGATGAAGTCTGGCATGGGCTTGAAGCAGCATGAAATGAGTCATCCAATTCTGTCATCCAAGCCCAGTTTGACTCCATGGCTAATGGGGTAAGGGCTGTTTTAGTTGCCAGGGCTTGCACCTGTTTCTACTAATTTTGCACCCCTGTAGACCTCCAAAATGCTTACAAATTTAATCACTTTGTTTTCATGCCATACTGTTACGTGCAATAAATATCTTTTTATATTTGCTTTCCTTCATGGTGTTGCAATTTTAATGGCCAGCAGTGTACAAATTTGAATTATGTGAGGATTACATGTTAAATAAAAAAAAGAAAAAACATTTTTCTTCAAATCTTTCTCTTATTTTTTTTCCACAATTCTTCTCCCGAAGTACACAATCATCTGTTTCTACGTAAAAAAATAAATCAGATAATTGCATACACTTGACTTTGTGCAACCCTTAATAGCAGCGTTATCCAGGAAACACATTTCCTTGTTCCCTTTAGAAAATGTTCAGCAAAATTCTGTATTCCTTTAGAAATTTTACTGCAGTTTCTTCCATTGTGGCGAATTCTACAAGTTCCTATTTTAAAACGAAGTTTAAGGAAAAAAAAAAAAAAGATTTGTTTATAAGAAAATCTTCGGAACTTTGAATATGACAAAAAAGAATGCGTATGAAAATGGCGGCATTGCTTTACTGGAGGATTGTTATGAGCATGGTTGCTGGAAATTCTACATTTGGCACAAACTAATTGTGGAAAAATTTAACTGCTGTCATGAAATATTGTGGAATAATTTATGGCAACTACAGAGTGGGGGCGGGAAAAAAAAAAGGTTAATCGAATACTGATTAAATAAAGAGACGTGATTTCTTCAGAATTCTGCAGAAATGAATAGTGCAATTTTAGTAAGGTATGTACCAAATTTCGTGAATCATTGGTAGCCAACTTTACAATTAGTGGGATAAGACATAAATGCAGCATTTGCTGCTTATTAAAATCACTTCAGTTCCAAACATATTGACATATCATCATTGTATCATTTTCGCTGTTACTTTCTGCAGTTCTTTTAACATTTTGTAATAAGTTTTCATGCTTTCTCAATATTTTTGCGAATTAGCACATATTCTAAAAATGAATCTTCATAACTTCCCTCACTGATGTCTCAAACGTTAGGCTGCTGAGGCTTCTTCTGCATAAAAGCCACATTTTTGAAAACAACTTTTAACTCATTTAAAGAGATTAATCCTTTTCGCTGACTGTGATATACATGGCCTCCAGCAGAGCTATTGAGTTATTTAACTCCTTTGAAGTGCCTGTACTTTCACACAAAATTGAGGTCTTCTCATCATTTTTTGAACATAATTTCTGTAATGACATTTTGAAAGCTTATTTAAAAAAAAAAAAAAAAAAAAAAAAAAAAAAAACTGAAAGCTTTCAGATTTTACGGCACATCTAAAGGGACTTTTTTTAAAATCTTTTGTGTGTTAACTTTGTTTATTAAATGCTCTTTGCACTTAAACCATAAAATTCAATTCAGCAGCAATATCGCAAATTAATTTTAAAATGAGGGTATCTTCAGAATTTAAGATACACAGTCTTGCGCACTGGAAATAAAATCCCCCCTGTACAGTTTTGCCTTTGCTCGCTTTGAAATCGTTGAGTTTGTTATTCAAAAATTCACTGAACTGTTAAATTTGATGGCTCTAAATATCGTTGTTTTTTCACAAAGCGAGAAACATGCATACATTTATGCAGATTCATTATTATTTATTTTTTTTAAATATAACACAGGGCAATAATATTTTGTGGCAACAACTTGAAAAGTGAACTGACTCTAATAATTTTGTGCATCTCCAAATCAGATGATGGTGGTTCAGTGGGTTTACTAATTTTAACACTTTTTCATTTTTAACAATATTTTAATTACTATATACAGAGCGTATTCTTAGGCCGCCGCCTTCAACATGAACAAACTTTATTCTCTTACAACTAAGCGAGCAACAGCGCCCTCTAGCCTTTTTCTTCAAATTACACAACACTGACATTTAAAGTTTTCAATGCAAAATGCCAAGAAATTAATAGCCCTTCTGGGCTAACGTTTGGGCTAAAATATTCAGGGTTCGTTCAGTTCTTAGAGTCCTTAAATTTTTGGAATCGATTTTTGGTCCTTAAAAGCCCTTAATTTTGGCCAAATCAGTAGAAGGTCCTTAATTTTAATCATCTGAAATTTCTGTCTGTTTTTATGACTGCCATTTTGAGTGTGAATTAGCATTTTGGAGGAATAATTTTGGCAATTCACTGACGTATATATGGGTTATAATTTGTTTCTATTTCTAATATAAATCATGGGATACTCGAGTTTCTAAGCAAGAAGTGAAACATAAGCATTTCGAAATTCATTTTTCGTAATAAAGAGCTCTTAAACAATTTTCGCTTTTGGGAATGTGAATTCTTTTATTGAATGGTTCTAAATTTGGTGACTTGTCAACATTTTGGCGATTTTTAGATCAGTTTCTATAGAAAATTTTTAATTCCGAAATCTGAGAATTTTTCGACGACTTTTTTTTAAAACTTCATAACATTGATAAATTTCATTAAAATAATGGTAATATATTGGAATTATATTTAAAAAATAATATTAAAATAAAACATTTTTATTTTTTGCTGTCATATTATAAAGTTTCATTTTGGCAACTTATACAATACTTTAAATCTGGAAAATAACCAAGGTATAATGCTATAAAGCATAATTTACGAAACAGCTCTAAGCAAAAGCAGAATTAGCTATGTAATTAATTAAAAAGTCTTCTTTTAATTTTTTTTCATTGTAAGCGTTTTTCCCATGTAATTGTCTCAGAATATTCAAAATTCTCAGAATATGCAACAGTTTTCTCTATAAAATTAATTTTACACTTTTTCCCCTGCCTTTTTTTTTTTTTTTTTTTCCCAAAACATTTTTTCCAAAACAGGCTTTTTGCTGTTACAGAATTGGTTGGGATAATTTTTCTTTAGTATTTTTGACACTGCAGCATGTAAAGTTTAGAAGGATTTGAAGGCAAGATTTATAGACCCACGATTCTAGAAGATTCGAGAAATATGTGACAAAATGAAAAATGTCTCCATGGCATCAATGCATAATGGATGTATTTTACAGAAAGTATGCGATGAATTTCTTACTTTTTGGAGAACGCGTGGAAGAACAATGAAGACATAATATTTGAAATGTTTTGCTCCTGATACTAGAATCTTTTTCTTTAATATGTTTATCTTCCCTTTATTTTACTGTTTACTAGACACAAGCATGGAAAATATCAAAAATGCTTCAAATCGTATCACTTGGGCAGGTACTATAAAAAGGAATTTTTTTATTAATAAAGAAATTGAAAACTTACAATTTTAAAAAATCCATCTAATTAATATGTAATTCATCATACACAGAGCTGGCACTAGGCATTTTCTCATCTGATGCAATCTCTATGGGTCCTAAATTCGACTGCATAGTGCCTTTCTAAATTCTGCTTCCAATGCTTGCTCTAAATTCTAAAAGTTTTGCCATTTCTAGATTTTGTTGTTTGGTGTGTCACTAAATTCTAAAAATTCTGCCACACCAGCTCTGTAATAATATTTTTTCTGAATTTCATATTACTAAAGAA